TTATTTATATCCCTAAGATTGCTTCACTTGTGCTGGTGGCCTCTGTCGTAGCTCAAAATGGATTTGGCCAAGGAGGGCTTGGTGGCCAAGGCGGACTTGGTGGCCAAGGCGGACTTGGTGGCCAAGGAGGTTTTGGTGGACAAGGAGGTTTCGGCTTTCAAGGAGGATTCGGTGGGCAAGCTGGATTCGGTGGTCAAGCAGGACTTGGAGGACAAGCTGGACTTGGTGGTCATTTAGGAAATGGTCAGGGAGGAGTGTACCCGGGTCAAGGAGTTCCCGGTTACGGCGGAATTGGTGGATCTGGCCATTTCCATGGAGGTAATCCTGTAGGACCTGGAAATTACCAGGGAGGAAATCCCGTTGGACCTGGCAGCTTCCATGGAGGCAATCCCGTTGGGCCTGGTAACTTTCACGGAGACCATCATGAATATCCGGAACATCATCGCGAACATCACCACGAACATCATGAACACCACGGACACCGCGAGCACCACGAACATCGCAGGCACTAGATCGGAGCTTTGTAAATTTCTTGTACTTTGAGTTTACAATAATATGTATACTAGATGGAGAAATAAAAGTGAATTTAAACAAGAACAGGTTTTTAAAAGATCCAAGACTGCATTACTTTAAAAAGAACAGTAAGAATCGAACTTTCCAATACATATTCCTTATACATATTGATAAATATTACGTCTTGATTTGATTTATAAAAGTTGTTGAGTTCGTATTTAAATTCCCCGTCGAACTGTGTACCACACTTAAAAAGTCAATTTTTTCAGATTTTTCGTAAAATTTTATGATGTTACCCCTTTCCAAAATTGCGAAAATCGCTCTGTCCCGATTTGAGTCTCAAAATATCAGTATTTTCCTCATTACAAAGCCAAAGATGATCGTATCATGGAATGTTATATCTTGTTGAGTTCGTATTTAAATTCCCCGTCGAACTGTGAACCACACTTAAAAAGTCAATTTTTTCAGATTTTTCGTAAAATTTTATGATGTTACCCCTTTCCAAAATTGCGAAAATCGCTCTGTCCCGATTTAAGTCTCATAATATCAGTATTTTCCTCATTACAAAGCCAAAGATGATCGTATCATGGAATGTTATATCTTGTTGAGTTCGTATTTAAATTCCCCGTCGAACTGTGTACCACACTTAAAAAGTCAATTTTTTCAGATTTTTCGTAAAATTTTATGATGTTACCCCTTTCCAAAATTGCGAAAATCGCTCTGTCCCGATTTGAGTCTCAAAATATCAGTATTTTCCTCATTACAAAGCCAAAGATGATCGTATCATGGAATGTTATATCTTGTTGAGTTCGTATTTAAATTCCCCGTCGAACTGTGTACCACACTTAAAAAGTCAATTTTTTCAGATTTTTCGTAAAATTTTATGATGTTACCCCTTTCCAAAATTGCGAAAATCGCTCTGTCCCGATTTGAGTCTCAAAATATCAGTATTTTCCTCATTACAAAGCGTTTTGAAGTTGAGATAAAGAATCTTAGAAACTAAAGATTAAATTCTATTATTTATATCCCTAAGATTGCTTCACTTGTGCTGGTGGCCTCTGTCGTAGCTCAAAATGGATTTGGCCAAGGAGGGCTTGGTGGCCAAGGCGGACTTGGTGGCCAAGGCGGACTTGGTGGCCAAGGAGGTTTTGGTGGACAAGGAGGTTTCGGCTTTCAAGGAGGATTCGGTGGGCAAGCTGGATTCGGTGGTCAAGCAGGACTTGGAGGACAAGCTGGACTTGGTGGTCATTTAGGAAATGGTCAGGGAGGAGTGTACCCGGGTCAAGGGAGTTCCCGGTTACGGCGGAATTGGTGGATCTGGCCATTTCCATGGAGGTAATCCTGTAGGACCTGGAAATTACCAGGGAGGAAATCCCGTTGGACCTGGCAGCTTCCATGGAGGCAATCCCGTTGGGCCTGGTAACTTTCACGGAGACCATCATGAATATCCGGAACATCATCGCGAACATCACCACGAACATCATGAACACCACGGACACCGCGAGCACCACGAACATCGCAGGCACTAGATCGGAGCTTTGTAAATTTCTTGTACTTTGAGTTTACAATAATATGTATACTAGATGGAGAAATAAAAGTGAATTTAAACAAGAACAGGTTTTTAAAAGATCCAAGACTGCATTACTTTAAAAAGAACAGTAAGAATCGAACTTTCCAATACATATTCCTTATACATATTGATAAATATTACGTCTTGATTTGATTTATAAAAGTTGTTGAGTTCGTATTTAAATTCCCCGTCGAACTGTGTACCACACTTAAAAAGTCAATTTTTTCAGATTTTTCGTAAAATTTTATGATGTTACCCCTTTCCAAAATTGCGAAAATCGCTCTGTCCCGATTTGAGTCTCAAAATATCAGTATTTTCCTCATTACAAAGCCAAAGATGATCGTATCATGGAATGTTATATCTTGTTGAGTTCGTATTTAAATTCTCCGTCGAACTGTGTACCACACTTAAAAAGTCAATTTTTTCAGATTTTTCGTAGAATTTTACGATGTTACCCCTTCCCAAAATTGCGAAAATCGCTCTGTCCCGATTTGAGTCTCAAAATATCAGTATTTTCCTCATTACAAAGCCAAAGATGATCGTATCATGGAATGTTATATCTTGTTGAGTTCGTATTTAAATTCCCCGTCGAACTGTGTACCACACTTAAAAAGTCAATTTTTTCAGATTTTTCGTAAAATTTATGATGTTACCCCTTTCCAAAATTGCGAAAATCGCTCTGTCCCGATTTGAGTCTCAAAATATCAGTATTTTCCTCATTACAAAGCCAAAGATGATCGTATCATGGAATGTTATATCTTGTTGAGTTCGTATTTAAATTCCCCGTCGAACTGTGTACCACACTTAAAAAGTAAATTTTTTCAGATTTTTCGTAAAATTTATGATGTTACCCCTTTCCAAAACCCAATTCAGGTAGAAGACTGATAACATTCTTAGAATGGCATCCCACATAAATCTATTAGCCAGGTAGAATCCTTTTCGGCTACCTAATTCTACCTTCCTAGCTCTGGTATAAATACCACAGGTCCTGTGAAACGACTTCAGTTCTAAAATTTCTCTCATCATGAAAATAC